ATGTAAATAAGGTCAATTTTGGCCATTTTCGAGAAAAAAGCATGGACTATAGACCATAGATTTGGCCTTTTTTGGCCCATTTTCACACATTTTAAAAAAATATGCATTATTCATGACCGATGTAAATAAGGTCAATTTTGGCCATTTTGGAGCAAAAAGCATGGACTATAGCCCATGGTTTTGGCCGATTTTGTATCATTTTCACACCTTTTATAAAATTATGCATTATTCATGAGAGATCTAAATAAGGTCATTTTTGGCCATTTTGGGGCAAAAAGCATGGACTATAGCCCATGGTTTTGACCGATTTTGATCCATTTTCACACCTTTTATAAAATTATGCATTATTCATGACAGATGTAAAATAGGTCATTTTTGGCAATTTTGGGGCAAAAAGCATGGACTATAGCCCATGGTTTTGACCGATTTTGGAACATTTTTACACCTTTTATAGAATTATGCATTATTCATGACAGATGTAAAATAGGTCATTTTTGGCCACTTTTTGGCAAAAAGCATGGACTATAGCCCATGGTTTTGACCGATTTTGGTCCATTTTCACACCTTTTATAAAATTATGCATTATTCATGACAGATATAAAATAGGTCATTTTTGGCCATTTTCGGGCAAAAAGCATGGACTATAAACCATAGTTTTGGCCTTTTTTGGCCCATTTTCACACCTTTTAAAAAGTTATGCATTATTCATAACCGATGTAAATAAGGTCAATTTTGGCCATTTTCGAGATAAAAGCATGGACTATAGCCCATAGATTTGGCCTTTTTTGGCCCATTTTCACACCTTTTAAAAAATTATGGATTATTCATGACCGATGTAAATAAGGTCAATTTTGGCCATTTTCGAGAAAAAAGCATGGACTATAGCCCATGGTTTTGGCCGATTTTGATCCATTTTCACACCTTTTATAAAATTATGCATTATTCATGAGAGATTTAAATAAGGTCATTTTTGGCCATTTTGGAGCAAAAAGCATGGACTATAGCCCATGGTTTTGACCGATTTTGTATCATTTTCACACGTTTCATAAAATTATGCATTTTTCATGACAGATGGAAAATAGGTCATTTCTGGCCATCATTTTTGTTGAAGACTATGGGCTACAGACCATTGGTTTTGACGGAAAGGGGTATTTGCTATACTTATTGAATAGGTAAAAGTAAATTCTGAGTAATGATGTGAAAATTATTTATAAATTGTATTAAACGCATTTGATGTTATGTATTATTTTCTTTCAACTGATGTCTAAAGTTGGTCCAATTTGGTATACTCCATAAATAATTCATTTTATTCAATGTCGCAAGAATAGATTTTTTTTAAACTGTAGTTAATAGTTCATTCTTGGTAATTGCCAAAACTATTATAACTTAGTATCCTTGATAAACAATTCATATGCCAAAAAACGTTTGAAAATGTGTCCAAAATTGATCATGATCTAGTTGGTTTGAATTTCAATTGGCAATTTTATTTGTAAGCAAAGCTGTTCAAACTTATTTTTCGTAATCGTAAGTATAAGCAGTCTATTTGATGTTTGCCGCTTAATAGGCTGAACAATTAAACCAATCATGATAGCCTATCTGCTACAGTCAAGTTAAATATAACTGTGTTGAGATGATTTAGTGTAGGACTTACTGTGAGCCAAATCTTAGGAGCAGTACAACGGTAAACCACGAACAATGAATGATTTTTTCATCTTGATTGTTTTAGCAGCCACTTTTGCTAACTCACAAGGTTAGTACCTTGAAGAACCTTTTTTTAATCAATGTTCATTGATTTTATCAAAAGTTGAGCAATTGCTACTTATTCATACTTATCTTGTTATTTCTGTCTCCCTTTTATGTTGAACGTTCTTTCTCTCTCACACACACTCTTTCACTCTGTCTCTGTCCGTCTCTCTTACTTTCCTCCCTACACCGTTTCCCTTAAAGTTAAACTATCCTAGTATATATTTAAAAAGAACAAGATTAATGATCTTTTCGAGCTCATCTTCTTTCTTTTTCTTCTCCCAGCTTCTTCTTCTTCATCATCATCATCTTCTTCTTCTTCATCTTCTTCATTTATTTATTTATCAAAATAAAAACTTTGAATTCTTAGTCTATTGTTTCTCTTAGACTATCCTTAGCTGCAACAACTTATCAAACTAACTTTTTCCTGGGTTTTAAGGTTATAATCTAAACTTGCTAAAACATATCTGGACTTTCTTCAGTTGAAATTCTAATGTCCAGACATACGTTATACTTACTAGAGTAAGAATCAAAAACAAGAGTAAAAAACAAAATATATTTGAGCAGTCTTTTTGCGTATTTTAAACCCAAAATACTTTGATAGATTCAAGAATCGTTTTCCTCCTAAATATAACATTTTATGACGAAAAGTTCAATTTTTTCCATGGCAACGAGATGCTATCGCCAAGAATGCAATAACTTTCTGTTGATCAAAATCCATGTCCGCAGTCTATCATTGTTTACTAGATGTAATACTTGGCTACAGTAAGCCAATATAGTGCAGGTGAATCTATAGTTGTACCATCAGTCAGGCTCTGCATGTATGGGATACTAATTCAGTTCTCAGTAAATATTATATAGCACTAGGTTAGCACGTGTATTGCCTGTTTATCCTTTCAATCGTATCGTTTCCTTCCTTCCTTCCTTCCATCCTTCCTTCCTCCCTTCCTTTCTTCCTTCTGAGCCCTGTTGTACGAAGGGTGGATAGCGCTATCCGACGGATAAATCTTATTCAGCGGATAAATTTATATATTGCGTAACAGCATCGATTTTTCCACTGGATAAGGGGGATTTATTCATTGGATAGCGCTATCCACCCTTCGTACAACCGGGCCCAGATGAACACTGTTCTTATCATATATAGCATGGGATAAGATCAGCCTACACCCGATCTGCTTCGAGGCTACTGGTAATCAACCTGGTAGAGTGCTTCATTATGGAGAAAGTAAACTTGTCAGTGCCTTACGTCTTGTTTGGTTGTCAGGAGAAGTCAGGTCAGTAAAATCAAAGTGAATAGACCTCTTCGGCTTGGGGTAATGTTTTCCCATTTCAGACCACGTGTCATTCCCTTGAGAATAAGATTCTTTGTTTGAGTTGTATCCATATTCATGTGTCTTCTCATGTGCAACCGAGCGCAAACCTTAAGCAAAGAAATTATACTCTAGAGAATGACATGTGGTCTGAAATGGGAAAACATTACGTCAGAGCCGAAGAGGTCTAAATCAGCACAAGGAGCCCACTTTACATAAAGGTGTTAAATGAAAATAGAATTAGAAAATTTTTGCCCTTTGTTGAATTAATAAAAATTTATTAATAAAAATAAATTGCTTTTTTTTTTTTTTTTTTTTTTGCGCGCGCGCGCGCCTTATTATTCCCGTTATAATCTACTAATGCCTTTATCTGTATTGAGCTCCCTGTATTGTGATGCCTTTGTAAGGTCGGTTTGGCACTGAGTGTGCTTCCTAGTCCAAAAGGTGTCCTATATATAAGGGTGGGGGGGGGGGGTGTCATCTATTATATTGCCAGATGATTTAATTTCTCTGTTGATTCTGAGCCTGAAAAGCAGTTGCACACTGAAAATATGGCTTTTCCATAACACATCTTTTTAGGAATCCATGTTGGAAAAATGAGTTAAGCCTGTCAATAAAGTGATCTTTATAATAAACACCTTGAACATCCTGTATAAATTAAAAATATTTTTACTCCCCGTTCGTTTTATTTAGATGTGTTTCTGATGTAGCTTACARCAGCAAATGGGGATGTTATCGTCATTCTTCTTTCAATGGTTACAACCTCAATGTCATCATCACCGATTTCAACGACAATATCATCTTCCCTAAACCCCAGTACATCAAACATTCTGCTGGTCTTTGGTACTGGCTACCAGGTGATACTATGTACTTTCTATTGACTGAGTGGGAGGGACGTGCGGGATACAAATGACCGAGAGCCAAATATTTTCCCGTACGGCCCGACCTAACTCAGTCAATAAGCATTTTATCATATGACCCTAAATAAAAAAGATATTTTAAAAGTTGCAAATTATGTCAATATGGTCGCAGGTTTCGAGCAGGGCCGTGCGGATTCGTACGGTTCTGCTCGCTCAAAGCCGTACGGCCCTGTTCATTTTCGCGAAGGCGTTTTAAGAGCTCGCGCCCGGGTTGATACGGATCATATGATAAATTGTTTTCTTTTGTACTTTGCTTTATCATCAATATATTCATGAATTTAATAATAGTATTTGATATTTTCTATCTTTCTTCTGTCCGGATCGTTATGCTGTTCTTAATCACTACCTCACCCCTTCTTGCATTCTTTCCCCTATCCCACCCTACTGTATCCTCCCTTCCTATCTCCTATTCTACTGACCATACTTTATAATACCCGACCCGACCTTACCGTATCTCCCCCTCCGATCCCCTATCCCTCCTTCAACATCTTCCCTCCCCTACTCTCCCATATCCTACCCTAATCTACTATACCCTTCCCTGCCTTCACCTATCCCACTTAGAGCGAGTGTCCTGTCAGATGCCTTACCTTGTCATGTTTAGCTGTCTTGTCAGACCCTCTCCTCTCCTCCTTCGTATAATATGACATACATTTATGTGAAAAAACGAGTCCCTACAGAGATCTTCCAGATAGCTTCAAGACAAGTTTCTTTTTGTTCACAGGTGTCGATGAGAAGCATTCCAACGAAATAGTGTTCACGGATTTTGCCACACCTTTCTACTTGAGACAAGGTTCCGAACTCAAGATTTGGTACGGTGAAGACCTGAAGAACTGGAGTGAAGGTGACAATCAAGGTCGCGTGTGCGTGGATGTCTATGCCCGTTTCGTCTAGGCTGAATCGATTTCGTGCTATTCATGTATCTAGATTAGCATGGGGACTAGTGCCGATAAGCCCCTTTTTTTTGAGGAGAAAGGAAGACCACAGAACTCGGAGAATAGACCTCTTTACCTTAGTTGTGTGTTGTGCACATTTCAAACCATATGRTGCCACTCTTGGGAGTTAATTCTTTGATATGTAAATATTTGAACATGTTTGTCATAAAAGACCAATTCTCAGGGGAATGTCATGTGTTCTGAAATTGGTAATTTCAAGTGAGCATATATAAGAGAGGGAAACTTCTTAATAACGCGCGTGCCATGTAAATTCCCGGTTGGGCTATTTTTAGTAACCAGATGCAGTTTAAATTTTTCCTTACCCTACTCCYGTGCGTCATCAACTTGCGCGCGCGCTCTTTCGTTTCGTTTTTAGTCATCAAAACACTTCAAAGCAATACACGGAAAGAGTTCGCGTGCGCAAGTTTAAGACGCACGGGAGTAGGGTAAGGCAAATTTAAACTGCATCCGGTTTCTAAAAATAGTCCAACCGGCATTATTTACATGGCGCGCGCATTATTAAGAAGTTTCCCTCTCTTATTTATGCTCTCTTGGTAATTACATACGAAGCTAAAGAGGTCTATTGCCCTCGAATTCAAGGAGAAGACCTAACAAACACTTCTCACATGGAATGCCGAGTCCAAGAATAGAACGCGAGAAACCAAATTAGGTTCGCATCAGCTGAAAAAGAGGAACGAAATGTAGGTCCTGGATCCTTGCCCATTATCAGTATGAAAAAAAGCAGACATTTGTTGTATTGTCGTCTTATCGGTACTAGTCTCTTGCCCGTCACTTATTGGAATGAATAGCATGTGCTGGAGAAAACTCTTCTAGCTTTATTGATTACTAATAACAAGGGAATTGTCTTTATTCATGTAACGTAAACACAGGTCATGAGTTACAAACGTGGGAAATTGATAAATAAATGAACAAAATAAACTAGAATAATGAAGAGTATTTTCATAGAGTATTTTCTTGGTTTGCGCATTATGTGTTTGACACCATGTTAGCATGCATGCATCGTAGGCGCTTCTGATTGGAAGGCTAAAACAGCCCCAGAATGCACTGCAATGCCAACTCGGCAAAGTTTTTCCTCGACCTCGGAACGGCTGATATTGTGCAATAATTTTGACAGCATGCAAGGTAATTACACAATGCCTGCGCAATAATTCTGTCCATATTTTGTGGAATTTTTCAAATCTACACAGACCTATCCTAAATGTTTTTTTTCCATTTATCCGCACTTCGTTTTAGTATCTCTATCAACAAAGTTAATCAAATTCAACTAAACTATCAATTAACGTTTCTGTCCTAGCTACTAGTAGCACGGTTGTATTACGGTTGAAATTATGGATTTCCTTCCACTGCTGGTCTGCCTGGGTGCGAGATCCATGGACCATCGCATCGCTTTCGACCAAAGTCTTGCCGCGACAAAATTTTAAAGAGGAATCCAAGCCACAAGACGGTGATATGCTTGACACACAGGCAGAAAGCAATAAGAGAAAGATCATTCCAAGATACAGAGAATAGCTGGAAAGACTTGTGTTTCTGCTTCTTATTCTTGTCAAGAACATGGACCTTAGTGCTGAGGCTGATTCAATGTTGTTTGTAGTCGACRAAAACATTTCCATCTCGGAATCATGACCTATCGCCTCGTATCGCCTTTGGCAACGTTTTTTGAAATAGGTGTATATGAAAACCGAGAGAGTAGCTTAGAACCTTTGAATGCTCAAAGTTTTGTCAGTTGGCTGGCCTTGACCAATGAGACCTGCAAGAATGGTCTCGGTAGATCATCAGCCTTGTCAACATGATAATGTCCTGATTTCCCTTCAAAGGAAGCCCCAAACGACAATCCTTGATGATCTTTAGCAACTATCGACAGATTAGTCATTGATGTGCTGGTATTAGCTCTGCTACCATTTGAATGCCTCCAGTACATCAGCTTCTCGGCAATGTCCAGGAACGCCTTCATAAAGTTTTTGTTCAATATGATATAGAGAAAGGGATTGATGGCAGAATTGGCGTGTGATACAAAGAACGCCACCAAAGAGACGTAGGGTGGAAAGCGATTATAGATATCATGCCTGTAAAATATATAATAATGCATGATGTGGACTGGAAGCCAACAAATTGCAAACACAAAAACAATGATGATCAACATCTTGATGGATCGCTTCTTGGACTTGTTCGCGGTTCTCAAGTTCATCGCAGATGGATTCCCAGGAATCTTTCTCAACCAAAGCTTTCTGCAGATAGCAAGGTAGAAGAGTGCGATAAGGACCAATGGCGCGAAGTAGAGTACAGCGAAGACTACAGTGTTGTAGATACGCATGGTTTGGAAGGTGTAGACGATGTCTTCACCAAACGACACTATACAACGGAAGTTACCACTGTTGTCTGTCTCTGTTTTGTAGATGTAGAGAAGTGGACCTATGAGGATTGCAGCTGTTAACCAGATGGCTGTGATGGTGATGGAGATCTTCTTGATGATTCTGGACCGACGAAAGGGGTACACAATGGCAAAGAAACGATCAAGAGAGATGACGATAAGAGTAACGATGGAAGCAGCAATCGATAGGCCTATGATAAATTGGACGACCTGAAAGCAAATGTTATGTTAATACGCCAATGCTTGTTGCTCTGGCGTCTCTTATTTGCTTTGAATAGTTAGTTGATCTATTCGCTCGCTCGTTCCTTATTTATTTCTTGTTTCTTTTCTTTTTTTATTCTTTTCTTTCTCTCATGTATTGATAACTTTGTTCGTTGATTAGTTGCAATTGTTTGGTCTGTTTGGTGGTAGGTTGTTGGATCGTTATATAGGATGGTTATTTATTTTGGTTGTTGGTTCGGCTAGTTGAGGGATTGATTGCAATTGTTTGGTTTGGTTGATGGGTCGGCTGGTTGGTGGATATGATTGGTTCATAGGTTGTTTATTGGGTTGTTTGGTTGGTTAAAATCTGCGATTTGGTAATTCTTAGGGCGTCACAAAATTAAAAGTACCACCAGAAGGCAAGCTGGTGCCTCTTAAGGTGTTTCTAAGGTAATAAGATAACCGAGTTTATATTAATAACAGCCAGTTAATAATAGAATGGAAGTTGTAATTCAGGATATTATTTGCGGTACATTTATTTCATTCTATGTATGGAATTACCTCCTCCCCTCTCAGGTGATGTTGTAATTGCAAGACTGCAATTTGAATGTATTGTGTACTTGATCAGTAAGAAGATGCATCGAAGGTTCTGTTGTCACTAGATCGATTCAAAAGCGATTGATAATTTCAAAGACTTAAGCTAATTCAAGCAAATAAAAAGTTTCGTAATGATATTTTGATAACCCGATACTTAATTTTAAAATTTCATATCAAATGCCCTTTCAACTCGCGGATTATTCTAGTTGTTCAGGTGTAATAAAACTCGGCTCAACAACCTCTTGGAAGGGTTGGTCAAGTTACAGGAACCGTAAAAATAATCTTCATTTATTCTTAATGCTATCTCCCTTGATTTAGTTTAAAGTAATCAGCCAATAATCAAACAGAGATAATCAGCCAATCAGCGAAGTGTTTGTTCAAATAATAAGTAAATCAGCAAAGAGCGTGCTATATTTCCCTACAGTTTTTTGACTAAATAAAGAAAAGTACTTTCTCGAAAATTTGTAAGAAAAAAAAATTCAAATGCGATAAAAAATGGACTAATTTTCTGGAGAGAAATAATATATCTTGCATGTCGTTCTTCTTATTGAATACAATTTCAAAAACTCACTTTAAACTTGAGTTCTATATTTTCATTTTGAAGGTGTTGTCACACTAGGCACACATTTTTTGTTTTTTGTTTTGTTTAGTTTAGTTTTATCTTATTCTTATTTTTTATTTTTACGTAAACCACTAGCCTTTAACTGAAACGCAAAAATAAAAAATTAAAAAATTTAAAAAAATTTGTATATTATTAAATAACATTCCGCCATAATATTTCCGCCATAGCGATGAGTAAATGCATTTCTCGTGCTGTCCTTTTTATCAACACTACATAAAAGAGGATTTGATTACTCAGGGAGGCGGAACAGTTCTTCTTATTTTTTTATTATTACGTAAACCACTAGCCTTTAACTGGAACATTAAAAAAATATTTTGTATGTTGTTAAATAACTTTCCACCATAATATTTCCGCCATAACGATGAGTAAATGCATTTCTCGTGCTGTCCTTTTATCAACATATAACAGAGGATTTGATTACTCAGGAAGGCGGAACAGTGAGCTGCACTTTCATTACTGAGATGATATATAAAAATTATATGACAGTAAATTATAAAGGCTTTATTTAATTGAGCTGAAAGGCTTTATTGTTGCTATAATTTTGGTGCATTTTCACTTTGAAATTAAAGTTTTGAATACGAACATGTGCTGATTCATTAGTCGATTCGTGAGAAATCCTCCTCTTGCGGCTTTGTTTTCATGATCATAATGACGTGCACTCGTTCTTGCACCTTGCTGTCATATTCGTTATGAAATGTAACCTTTGTTTTTGAACAGGGATATCATTTACCTAACTACTCAAGAAATCCGAATTACGCAGAGCGCGAACAAATAAGACGTAAGTAAGTTGCATTTGCAATCATGCCATGTGGTTTTGACTTAATTTTTTGTTAAAGCGAAAGGAAACTCCAGAGTAAAGAACAATTATCAGTGCAATTTCTTTGGTCAAGAAGACATGAGAACAAGCTTGAGAGAAGCATATTTTGGTCAAAGATAAGCCCTAAAGTACTCCACTGGTCCTTACAATTCATTTAGTTTTTGGTAAAGCACTTTAAAATGGCGCAATCTCCCAAGTACTTTGAAAACCCCTTGAACACCCCTTTATATCGATCACCGACTGTAAGCAATTCGAGGTTTTGTGTTCATGCAATATTTCGACCCCTCTAGGCAAGTGTCAAAGGTTTACAAAAACGGAATTCAAACTAAGCAAAGCTTTCATTAACTAACATACCTTACACGTCAACTGTCCCATCAGCCCACCAAACCATAAGCTACCAAAGTATAATAGAAACATAGAATAAGGCATCGCGAACAAGGCCATTAGGAGATCCGCAACAGCCATATTGGCAATCAGGAAGTTAATGGTGGACTTCATGTAGGGTTTCGTCATGACTATGTAAAGAATGAGAATGTTTCCTGACAGGGCTAAAGTGAAATTAATCGAGTAGGCTGATAGCATGGCAATCTGCGTGGTACTGTCGAGAGTATTTCTTTGCTGATGGGATGTGTTCGACATGACAGAAGCTGGAGGAAAAACAGGAGGAAAAAATAAACAAGAAGATAAGAAATATAAAGAGAAAGAAAGAAAATTATAAATAAGTGTAATTGTTGATACAATGAAAACTCCATTATGTTTAATTGCAATTTTGGTTAGCTTTTGTTGAGCAGTTAGTTCCTTTGATTTTGGGAACGGCCATAGGGAGATTTCTTGAATATTATAATAAATTCTTCAATTTCCCATTTTCCTGTTCCCACTTATTGCCTCACGACTTTTCAAGCCTTCTTGGATCTCTTTTTCTCCCCATATTTCTTGTCTTTGATTTGAACATAACGTGTTATGCTGTATGTAGAACCCTAAGGTTCGCGCTTTAATCAATTACTCAAATCCATCGAACACAACAACAAAAATATCACGAAGACTTTACCATTTGATTCGTTCATGCTTCTCTTTCGTTGCCTTCCTCTTCCTCTTCGTTCTTTCCTTCTACTTTTTCTCCGATCTTTTCCCAGTTTCCAGCTGGTGTATCTCTTCCACCTTCAAGATTCAAAGCAAAAGAATTAGAATCTTCAGAGTCGCGCGCCTTTTCGTAACTAACAGATAACCACAGATAACATCTTACCAATGAATAAATACTGTCAAGAAGATTCACATCCATCACGTGATACCCAGGTTGAGGTTACTAATAAAGAGAAGTGCCCTTGCCCGCTTCAGTATCACCACGCAATGTCGTCAAGGATTGTTCTAGGTGATGACATTAAATTACTCTGGGAAAAAAATCCGGCTTAATACTGAAAAAGCCAGTTTTAAAGACTCAAATATTCAGGGGGAAAAAAATAATTAAAAATTCAGCTTGTAATTTTATCAAGGAAAGATGAGCCAGAAAAGCAACAATAAATTCTATTCTCAATTTAATAATAATTCCATTTTATCAATTCTCAACACAACTGACCCGGCAAGGGCTGTTATTAGCTGTCCGTCTCTTGCGATATTTTTGTCGAAATGTTTGTTCCACTGAAAGGATGTCAAAAGATGAGACTATAGATGAAATGAATCCACAGAAATAAAGTGGTTTCCCAATAAGAACGAATACATTGGCGGTTTTTTTTTTAGCGCGATTATCTTATCATTTTATCCATGTTGATAAACAAATACTATTTTTTAAGTTTTCGTTCTAAAATAAAAATAAAAATAACAATGTTTTGTATTTTCAATCCAATTTGTAATGGGAAATTAAGCTTGTGTATTCTAAAAGCTTTTTCTTTGATCTTTGACATCACTAAAAAAATGTTTGCTTTGATTTGTCCTAAGCTAGGAGACAAATCGCTTAATTTCTATTTTTCTTTTGCGGTGGATTTCCACTAGACTGCAAAACAACTTAAAAACAAACATTGAACGACTGTCGGGCTCATATTGAAAGCTCGAATGAGATACGAATCATATTCCAATATCAAAACCCGCGCAAATACAAAGTAGGAGTACACAAAGAAACCCTACGAAATAAGCTAAAAAAAATACCCACATTTTGGGGATGCTGTTTAAGGATTGGTAAAGCTTTGCTGATCACGTGACGAGCAATAATCTCACAAAATTAATTTATGAGAAGAAAGGAAATGATCAAATTTTATGAGCTGTTCTTGAGCTTATTACTTTGTAAGACGCTGTGAAATTGCACCAAGAGCTTAGTTCCGCTTTGTTCTTTAGTTCAAGATGAACGGAAGATGACTACAAAAAGCCTCAGAGAAGTGTCAGCCTCGGTTGGTTTTCTTGTTTGGGGGGGGGGGGGGGAGGGGGGATTTTAGTTTTTACTGCTGATTGCAGCTGTTCTGGAGTTTCCTACCAACGTACGGTGCCCTAACCCGTGCATTCTATCCATTGTGTCACTTCCAGTCTCCGGTAAGGGTTGAAGTCCTGACATTCTTGTCAATACCTAAAAATGGCTCTACTCATCTTCGGAACATCAACAATCCATATCTACCGAATATTAAACGTCGGATGTACCTTTTAATTGATTTTTTAAACCATTTTTTTTGTTCTGTACACTATCTTTGTTGGTGCAAATGAAAGTAAGGTTTAATTGACATGTCGGATGTATCGTCTTGTCCTATCGGAATTAAAGCAGTCGTAATCGTTGCATCAACCAGAGGAAACAATATGCCTTTTCTTGTTGCCCAAAGAATTGTCTTTGACAATTTTTAATTAAGAGGGTTATTGGGAGAAATATTTTTGTCTTTTTGATTTCGTTATATTTTTTTGCCCTTTTCGTATCTTCTATATTTTGAATAGCAATTTTCTCATGCATTTGTGCACTCTTTATTTATGTGTATTCATTTATAGGTTTAGCTGTTAACGAAATCATTAACCTTTCTGCTTTTTTGGTTCTCATTTTGAAAACATCTTCCAGGTTCAGTTTTCATCGAACAACACAGTCATCGTACAAACAGTCAATTTTATCGTAACCATAGTAACTGTGCAAGAGTTTTGGAACGAAATCTGCGTTGCAGAATCGAAATAGCAATTGATAACTAATCGAAATTACCTTTTTATCACAATTAGTTTTCTATAAAAGATATTTTTTCTCATCGCTTGATAGTTTCAAGCAATTTTCAATTTTATATCTTTCATAAAATGTTCTCTAATTCTGTTTCAGTATCAGTCGCAAAACAGAGGGATCCCTATTGAATTCCAGTAAGAATATGGCTAAAAAGATGATTCAATTATCATGCTAATTATTAAATGAGCGCATCTGAACAAAACTCAATTATAAAAAAGGCGAAAATCGGTGTTTTCTTCCTGAAAGTTCAAAATCTTCAACACAAAAGACTGTTCTACTTACCTTGGGTGTCTCCAAACCTTGTAAAGTGATAGCTCCAAGTATACATGAACTGTTTGTGTATCGACGGTTTTTTGCAATGATCGCAGCCAGGTGATACCAGTCTTTTTAACTCCAGGATTATCGTAAACATCCTACGCACAAACCGAAACAGCTGGGGATGGTTTAATTTCAAACGTCTAGCGGTGTTCCTGATGACGCCTGATGCTGATGTAAGAACCTGGTTTTCGTAACTCATTGGAAGTGTTACAAAGTTCGCACAATAGCTGAAATTATTGAGGTACACAGTGGAAGACATTAAATGTTTAATTAAGGAACACCATACGAATTGGATTGCCAGTAGATGCAAGATCACAGACACAGGGTGACCATGCAATAAAAATACAGGGTGGCCGCTTGATTCAGGCGACCACTAGCCACAGAGGGGCTAATAATAAAAAAATAAAAAATAAAAAAAATCATCACTTAAACCATGCTTTAATTTGGGAAATAAAGTTACTCTGCATTCTCGACATACCTTTTGTATTTTAATTCGGTAATAATATTTCCGACTTTCCGTGTTTCATTTTTTTCTGGTTAAAAAAAAACTATAAAAACACCTGCAGTTTTGCCCTTTTTTATTTTCATATACGAAAGTAAAACATTATTGCTTAGTCATCTGAATTGAACTGCATTTAATATATCCGGCAAGGGGTCGGTCTAGTACATATAATTTCAAGGATCTTTCCAAGGAATGATATTGCATGCAAGATGCAATAAGTTTTTATCTTCAAATGACAACGATTTTTCTAATTGAGATTTCCATTCGACATAAGGTTTAGAGTGTTAATCAAGGATCCGGATGATCAAAGAAATGAAAAAGACAAAAGAAAAAGACTGAGATCTGTTGTATTATAACATGTAGTTAATCAGTACGTTCTATTTGAAGTCAACTATTGTATATTGAATCTAATTAGCGAACAACTGATATAAGAAAACGCTTATAATTCACGGGAATTGTGATACCTGATATCATAGATTTCAAAACTTTAATTCTCCCATTTCCAAAGCTGAAAATTTCCAATTCTCAAAAACCCTTAGGGGAAAATATCAAAGTCCCTCAGTACCCTACTTTTGTAATTCAGCCCACTCCCCTGGGTGGGTGGGGGGATGAATCGCAAATCAAGCCGTCCCTATCCCTATTTAATAGCCCTAGCTTGGACATAAATGAATTGTTTAAAAACAAACAAATTACACAAACTAAGAAAGACAGTTGACGATTTGATGACACAGCTTGTGTTCATCTGAATGTTGAAACGCTAATCACGTTCAATATTGGTATATCTTCAAAAACACTCGATCTATCTTAAGCAAGAAAAACCTAGCCTGCGTGCAGCCGAACTAACTAACTGTCGAGAGAAAAGTCCGGCTGCACGCAGGCTAGAAAAACCGGAAGTATTAGATTTCAAACTTGAATACGACTATAAGTAGCCTACTGGGTTACCTGTGATCGCATTGAAGCCTGAAATACTACTTCATTAATGTAAAATATTCACAAGCTTCTGTGGTTTAATGCATTCCCCCTTTGATCCAGGTTCTTGACATGTTAAGATCTATAGCGCAATAACGCAAGCACAAACCTGACGGGAAACTGCCGAGAACGGGCAGACGGTTTCTTTCATAACGATCAAGAACAAAAAAAAAAAAAAAAAGAGAAAGGAAAAAAAGCCAGTTATATAGTTATAAACGAAAAGACGTGGCGAAAATAGAAAAAACGAAAAAGGTACTCTGGTAAATGGGTAATCTCCACGAGATTAATCCACCCAAGAGAATATGGACAAACTTATTTCATATTCTCTTGTCCACCATCAATTATTTATTACGTTTGGGCCATATTTGCAAGCGACCATTTTCTACCTTCTCGGTGCCAAATGAAAATTACTCTCCGGTAATACAGTATATTTTATTATAGTATGCGCACAGTATACATATTTTTACTGATTAATACTACTCTTTTTCTCCTCAGTTATATTTTACCTAAAGTCGCTACAAGATAGTCTACTTTTTAATCAAATAAATCGTTGGATTAAGTAAAGAAACATAGGAGTTGTACTCTAACGATGTATTTGATTGACAGTACTGCCGATTACAGCCATTCTCAATAATAATAATAATAATCATAATAATAATAATAATTTAATAATTTCTATGGCGCGATTTTCCATGGCAAAATGATCAAATGCGCTTTATAATCGTAAATGTTAATAAAAAGTGAAAAAAAAAAAAAGATATTTACAATTATGATAACTCTGTTGATAAATATATAGTATGTAAGCGAACTGTAACGAACTGTATTTTTTTTTTGTTTTTTTTTTGTTTTTTTTTGTTTTTTTTGATCCAGGTTCTCGACATTTTAATATCCATAGCGCAATAACGCGAGCGCTAACCTGACGGAAAACCATTACAGCCATTCTCAATCACACGCGCCCTCTAGCGATTGTTTCTGTCGCGACGAAGAAGGTTTTGGTGGACGTCAATCACAATGCGTTTCCATAACATTGTCGGAAAGCACAAAGCTATAAGTGCACGTGCCTATGGAATGTCATGGAAACGCTGATTGACTTCCACCAAAAGCTTCTTCGTCGCGACAGAAACAATCGCTAGAGCAGCGCATGTGATTGAGAATGGCTGTAATCTTGTCGCAGTCGCAACTTTCGATCAGCGCGAAGCAATGAAAACAGTGCGGTGAGGAAAGGATGTGTCAAATGTCGAAAGTAAAGCTTTGACAAGAACAATTTACGAGAATTAAAGATGATTGCTTTATTTACAACTGATAAATACAAGACCTAAACCTTACATCTAAAAACAAACAAAAAAGAGTAATGCTTAGTAATGAGGCGAGTTTAGTCACTTACTACCACTACCATATAAGGTATTCCATTGGATGTAGGTGTCTAGATCTTTCTGTGAGACGCTTGCTCGTACTTGGCTTAGCGCGGCATCAAAATCTGTGTATTCTATTGGACGAACCTAAAACAAATGATTGAGGTCATACTACGTATAAAGTATCCTAAAGGTGTAAAGATTTAATGGTTTTAATTTTCCATTCTTATCTCCTAAAGGTGTTTTTCGTAATATTACAGTTTGGAGTTAACTGTTGCTCAGGTTTAGCCTCGTTATTGTGAAGAATACTCATGTGTTCCAGTGAAGGTCCGTGGAACTTCAAAGTGTTTGTATTGTTGAAGTTGTACAATCTTTACTTTACTATTGGTATATGTGAAGATTTAGGCACTAATTCGAGGCTTAACCTGACTAAATGAGTCTGTAATCAAGAAACACAGCGGTAATTTCAAACACTCGAAAATAGTCTATTGAAAGATACGTATAACGTTACCTGGTCAGCAGTAATGTGTTCAATGTCTGATGTTGCTATGCAACGAATTGGACCAATAGCAGCCTCTCTGCATAGGTTACTCATGTCAGAACCAGAATAACCTGATTTGAGATCAATATAAAATGTATTTTAAAATTAAAAAAAAAAAAAAAAAAAAATCAATTCAAACATTCAAAAGTATCCTAATCATAGGCTTGCTATTAATCTATATGTTCTCCAAAAAAAAAAAAAAAAATTTTTTGTCATTCTTCTTTTTATTATTACTATTTATTACTCTTAACAATTTTTGATTGGCGTTGCCGCAATGCATTGTGGTATTTCGATTTTTGTGCACTATTAAGACATCTTGCGAGATATTTTTAAGAATCGTTTTTTCGACATCAATTATCGAGAACTGTCAGTCGAACCGTTAGCAATAAATGTAAAAAGAGAGACTTCTAACCTTCTGTGCGAGTAACAATCTTAGAAATATCTTGTTCCGTCAGGTTGTAATTTTGCTGTGATAACAGGTTTTGGATGATCTGGTGACGAGCGCCGCCATCAGGGAGTGGAATGTAAAGGCGTTTAACAAGCCGTCTGCGAGCTGCTTCATCTATCTCTTGAGGTCTGAGAAAGGGTGTGAATCAATCAGCTATATATCTATCTGTCTCAACCAAATTATGCAATCTAACTTCGTTACTTATCTCCCTCTCTCTATTCATTCACCCAATCATGCATCCATTCGTGTCCTTTTACCAGCCGGCATCCCCCCATTTGTTCGTCTGTTCATCCATTCATCATCCATTTATCATTAATTTACCAATCGTGTATCCATTTATCTTTCCTTTCTCCAGCCGACATCCCCCCCCCCCCATCCATTTGTTCGTCCATTCATCCATTCATCGTTCGTCCATCCATCATTTATTTATCCGTCCGTCCGTCCATCCATCCGTCGACTCATCTATCAATCCATCCATACACCCTTTTCCACTTATAAACATGTTATCCAAACAAAAATGAGTTTTTTAATAAATCCACGGAAGCAATTTGTTCAAAGTAGATAATAGCAAAAACCCCGACAGTGCACGTTCGCAACATCCGTGTGGGTGGTTAACGACGATATCTCACTTACCTATTTGTTGCACCCACAACTAACAGCCTCTCATCTGTATTTGTTGTTGCGCCATCCTAACAAAATATTCAAAAAGATCTTTATTTCACATTCTCTTGCCACATCACGAATGCTCGAAACGAAAAAATCAAAGAAAAACAAAACAAAACAAAAACAAAAAAACAAACAAAACAAAACAAAACAAAACAAAACAAACAAAAAAACAAAAACAAAAAAAAACAAAAAAAACGAAAAACAAAACAAAACAAAAAAATTAGTTGAACCCTGGAATAACCTCTGAGCTTAAGTCATGGTACAGCTAATTTACTGATCGAATAAGGATTTAGTAATTTAGGTTCAGGTCAAACGTTGAACTTCAGATGACCCCAACCTAATTGAAACAATGGATAAAAAGGCGGTTTTCGTGGATGTAATTAGGTTCGGCTCATGTAAAGTTCGACTTTGGACATAAATAAATAATAATATATAATAAATAAATAATGGGGATTAACAGTGGATTCCGCAGAGTGGCTCTTCTTCCACTAGATTCCAATTGAAATTTAGCTGATTTTTGCGGAGGGAGGAAAGCCGGAGAACCCGGAAAACCCTCGAAGCACAGGAGAGAACCAACAAACAACTCTACTCACATACGACACCGAGCTCGTCGGGACTCGAACCTGGGTTACATTGGTGAGAAAAAGGCGCTCTCATCGCTACGCCACCCATGCTTCCCCCACGAGCCTTAGTTTTCTCGAAGGGAAGAAAACTGGAAAAAATCGGGCAAAAACCCTCGAATCAAAAGAGAGAGAGAGAGAATTAACAAACTCTACTCACAAGTCATGGCGAATGCAGACATGGAACCGAAGATCCCAGAGTTGAGAGGTGAGTGCTGACTACCGCTACCCTACCCTTTATTCCCTTAGATATTCACTAAAGTGGCTTCAAGGAAATTCATCTAACAGGACATAAATAGGCCATTTGGTGGTGACTGACGTTACGAAAACCTGAGCGGAAGTCATCTTCAGAGTCCATTGAAGTTCAGTTTTCTCGCTGGACTCACGAAATGTCAGTCACCAACCAACAACAGTCTTTCTCAAGACTACGCTCATAATATGCTTTCGATTTCAAGATACGAAGCATTTTAAACTTTGTTTAACATCCACCAGAACCTTCCCAAGGGACCTTTGGCTGAATTGATTCGTTATCAAAGTGACTGATATATCAACACGTGACTGTTTGTTGCAAATCGCCTATTATGGATAACCCTTGTAAGTGTCTTACCAACTGTACGAGGAATTCAGTTTTGATTCTTCTTGATGCTTCGTGTTCGCCATCACTTCTTTGGGTCAGTAGTGAGTCAATCTCATCTATGAAGATCACTGCTGGTAGATGACATCTGGCTACTGCAAATAACGCTCGTACCATCTTCTCTCCTTCACCAACCTTGACGAAAGAATTACTGTTTGTTGATGCATTCCTTTACTTTCTATCCTTACTCTCTTAGGGCGGTTTTCGTATAAAGTAGGAAGCGATAGACGATTTCCGAAATACGCGAGCGCTTTCATAAATATCACAGGCGCAGACATCAAAAAGTTTTTCAAAAAGTTCTTATCCTGCTCCCCAACTAAACGAAACTTCAAAATATTCATTTGTTAAATACATGTATCAAAGCCATTTCAATGTTACGGCATGTCGTACCGCGTACTTGCTGTATGCAAGTCAAGTTTGTTTCCCAGGAAAAAACTGGGTGTCGAGATGGYATTGCAATGCATTTTGGGCCGTTTTAGGGAACATTTTTCCAAGATGGCGTCTATTATGTCTCCTAAAACAGTCCCACAATGCTCTGCAATGCAAACTCGACCCAGTTTTCCCCTCCACCTTGGAATGGCTGATAGTTATACATACCCATTTTGAAGTCAGAGAGGATGCACTGATGCTAAAGAAAGTGGCTTTAGACTGGCTGGCTATGCATTTACCAATCAATGTCTTTCCAGTCCCTGGGGGACCAAACAACAGCAATCCCTTGGGGGGTCCCCTCAGTCCCTTGAAAATATCCCTGTAAATGACAAATAGTGTACAAGTAATGAGATGATCCATCTATCTATCCATTCATCCATCCATCTATCCATCCATCCATCCATCCATCCA